CCAATGCTTCTGGGAAGGCTTAAAAACACCCCGACACATGTAGCAGGAAAGGGGTGGGGGGTGGAGGTAACCAGCAAAGCCCAGAAGCATGAAAAACACCCATAAGAGGCATAGCTTTGCTTAGGTCATCCCTGACCCGTGGCTCTCAAACCTCTTCTTGAACACCTCCAGTTGATTCAATCAGCTATTAGATAAAAAGGCTCAAAACCCCCCACTAAAGCACCCTATCTTTACAGAAGTCAGGCAAGCCAGGTTGAAGTAACACACTGCCTCTTCTGGGCATGCACAGGGCTCCCCCACCCCCTGTCCAGTCCTTGGTGCCACTTGCAGGGAGTGGTCTAGTCCACCCTGTCTGGTGCTCAGCCCAGCTTCAGAATCATGGCAGCACTCCCCCAAGCTTGGAGTACTCTGATTGGCTGTTTCTGCCAGCCAATCAGAATGTGAATAAAGCATTAGGGACCGACAGACAGACAGACTTAGGCTTTTATAATATTAGAATAAATCTATACACTGGTATATGCTGTGGTAAAGAAGTCCAACTGCCTCAGACAAGTTGCATTCATATTTCATATAATTTTATTTATTTGATTGCTCTAGTTAACATACTAATATCATGCCTCACTGAAATCCACTCATGAATCCAGGTATCACAAAAGCATGACAGATAAACCCCCTTTCCATTCCCTCTACCTGGCAGAAGTCAAGGAGCACCAATACCTAATCTATTTTATATATAAAGGCTGATGTGCTATAACCTTATAGGGCTAGAAATAGGAACTTTAATTGTGTTTTACTTGACCATGTCAGCTGCCAACTTTTTTTTAATATGTCTATACCTGTACAGAGATAAGGTGTTCTTTCCATTCCCTTGTTTTGTGCATGTCTCAGGCCCTTTGCCTTGGGTATCACACAGTGCTTGTATGTGTTGAACTGGGCTGGTAGACTGTAGAAAAACAGGGATGTTTTGCAGTACTTGCTGAAACCTCCAAACATCAGAGCGACTGACATTTAGATTAGCTTCGGCTCATTCACACCGGGATGCAGATGCTGCTGCCAGCAGCAGCAGCAGCTGCCCCCCAGCCTGTGAAGTCGTCTGGTCAGGTCCCCCATTCCTGCAGGACGTTTGAAACCACAAAGTGTTAGCAGAAGTACCACCTTGTCCTCATGTAACATCAGCGTTACTCTCCCATCTCTCCCCGCCCAGGCTCAGGGGTCTGTAGGGACAACCTCAGTAGCTGCCAGTGTGGCATAAATGTCTCATCTCACTACACAAAAGGCTTCACAGCTGAGAACTGAAATCTCACTACACAAAAGGCTTCACAGCTGAGAATTGCAAATTGCTGCTTCTCCTCTCTCCCCCACCACTGCGAGGCCAGGAGGAGGGGGGTCCTGTTAGGGGGAGAGAACAGTCCGAACAATGCTTGGTTCACGATAAGGCTGATTCCTGTGGGAACACAGATTAGTTATTGCCTGCTTTGCACATAAACTTTGCAGAAAACTGTAGCAAATCAGATTGCCACAATGGGATCTTGTTCATGAGAGGTATAAAAATGTATCTTCGGGCATGGCTAGGGGTCGACACGGCTTTGAGTATTGAGCTCCCTTGTCGATCTGTTTGCAAACAAATAAACTGAGATGGATCCAACCTGAGTGTGACTCTCTCCATGAGGTGTATTGGAAAAGCCTCCAGGGGCACGAAACTAGCCGTTTGTGCAACACCAGCCTCACGTTATGAGACGGCGCTGACAGGATCAGTCAGCGCCACTGGAAGGAGGGAGAGGAGGATGAGGGCGGGGGAGGACAGGGTAGCCTGGGGACGCGGCTTGTTTCCCGCTCGCGCTCGCACAGACGTCCAGGGACGGCCGAGGCCTCACAGAGCACAGGACAACACAGGGCTGAGCCTCAGTAACCGGGCAGCATCTGTGCTGCTGGGAGCTCGCCTCGGGTCCGCGAGACCAGCCCTAGTTACCGGGTCCTGGACGGGGCCTGAGCCCGAGCAGGTGCCGGCACACGGGGCACCAGAGCCAGGCCGCGCCCCGGCCGGGAGCACGTGCAGCCCGAGGCCCTGGCTGCACCTCCCAGACGCCGCCGTGCCGGCCCTGGGCCAAGGCCCGCCCCGCCCCTCCGAGCGCCCGTAGTTTGGGCCGGAAGCCGCGCCGTAGGGCGGGTGCCATAGAGACGGAAGGGGCGCGGC